GGGAGGAGGCGGCCCGGAAAGGGAAGGCGGCCGCAGCCGAGCAGGGTGGAGGGTCCGGCTCCGCTCTGCACGACCAGCCCGACGGACACCGCGCAGAGCAGAAGGTGGAGCCCGCGGTGCAGGACATAGCCAGGTCCCTCGATTTGCTCCCCGAGGAGGTTAAAGGGATACCCGAAAAGATGAGTAACGGGGTGAAAATAGTAATAGAGAAGCACCGCGCCAGGGTGATCAGGGAGAAGAGCGGTTCCAGCGGCAGGGACGCTCCAGCAGGAAGCGCCCGCACACGCAGGTCGCCCGTGGAAGGGCCGGATCCGGGCAGCGCTGCTGGCCACGCTGACACAGCCCAGCCTGACCCGCAGGAGGGAATAACTGTAACAGAAACCCCAAACACACAGACACGCGGCCTTGGAGCTGTGGAGAATGCGTCTGCAAGCGCAAAGGGGGCAAAAGGCAGTAGTTTAAAGGCCACAAGAATACATGTACTTCAAGATGCCCCTGAAGCTGGCTGCAGAAGTAGCCCCTGTGACCTCGTTCAGCAGGAGGTAATAGACAAAAGCGTGACAGAAGAGAAGCAGATGTACCGAGAAGTTGGTGTGGAATATAAAGCTCCTCTTTCTGCTTTGCATACCAAGAGCCTCCATCTGTCAGTGATGGAGGGTTTCAGAGGTCACAGTGAAGGGACATCCAAAAATTACCTAACCAGCATACAAAAGCTTCAAGAGAGCAAGAAGCAGATGGCTGTAGCTCCCGAGCCCATCCTGAATGCGAGGAGGGACACCGAGCTGGCGTCGCACCAGCTCTCGCTCCACACCTCCAAAAGCCAACCCATCTGTCTATCCCAGGCCTCTGGCAGGAGCGCGGCGATGGGTGCCACGGGTTTAGAGTGGTTTCCAGACTTCTATCCTAATTACGATGGGTTGAGTATTTTTCCAGGGAAGCCTTTCCAAGAAAATGTGCGGATCACAATGAAGACACCAAAAAGTAACTTTGCAAAGGGCCGGCAAGGTAAAGTGAGAAGTCTCTGCTGCTGAGATTTACTGCACTGTCAGGGTAAACTGTCCGATGCGAGTGGGAGAGGAGGCGTAGGAAATGCTGAGCTGCTGGGCACATCCAGAAGGGATTCAGGGAGGTTAACTGGCCAACCCAAGCCTGCAGAACCAATGGTTTACATTTTTATTTAGGTTTGAGTCAGGATTTTGCATGTTTGGGCTGGCAGAGCCAGCTCACTTTGCGGGGAAGGTGATTCTTTTTTCCTTTCTGAGCAGTCAGGCCCAAGCCCAAGCCACGTGCAGCTGTGTTGGATACCAGCTCTGTGCTCACCACCCAGCGCAGCACTGCTCTCGCTATCCTACCTTTGACCACTCTGGCTTCTCCCTGCCCAGGTCCCCTCTCAGCACAGCCTCTGATGGATGTAAAGCTGGGGGAGCTGCCTGCGTGGCTGACCACCTGCGACCTTTCTCTCCGGGGGCTGCTTGGAGGAGTGCAGAAAGGTGAGGCTGAATTCCTGCCCCTTGGAGCAGAATTCTCCCACTTAACCTGATTTACTTGCTGCAGCCTGGGCCAAGCAGCCAGGCTGGATCTTTATAGAGAAATAAATAAATAGACCCAACCATTTGGCTTTGGAAACCAATGAAATCCATAAGACCTGCATGTGATTTGACCCTTGAATTTCTGTCCCAACAGGCTGGAGCAGCTATTACGACAAGTACATCAACGTGAAAAGGGGTGGACCAGCTGGGATCTCCATGCTGCTGGCTGGATACTGCCTCCTCAGCTATGGCTGGAACTACCAGCACATCAGTAAGATTTCCTTCTTGGTATCTGTCTTCTTTCAGGAATTCTCAGGTTTTTTGCAGCAATTGGAAAGTCTATTTGTCATTCATGTTAATTTGAGCTCTGAAATAATTTAAGTACGTCCCAGTATCAGAGCTCAGAGAACAGTATGCAGACCTGGCTTAGGTAGGGAGAGGAATTTCAGTAATAACGGTGGTGATAACAGTTGCTGATTCACAGCTTTTCCCTGGAGAGCAGCAAGAACTGTCAGGAGTACTGTTAAACCCTGCACAAAGCAGAGGGAGGAGATGTTCTAACACTAAGCACCCATTCCCCGAATTTACTCATAACTGACAAGGGATTTACTGGTGCTTGTGTAATTTCCCCAGCAGGACTTGCTCTCACACACAGCTCTGCAGCACATATATGGAGAAGGCTGCAGTCAGTCTCCCCACCATAGCTGTCCCTGAGCATAGCACTGTGCTGACACTCTTCTGGTTTTCCCCTCCCGTTTTTCTAGAGTGTCATCGCTGGCGTAAATACCACTGAAGAGGCTGGAACAGCACCCAAGGAACGGTCACGAATATTTGACTGGGAGCAGAAGGGCTCACAACCAGTGTCCCAGTGGGTTCAAATCTGCAGAGGCCCATTGACCATCAGAGAGAGTTTCTTTAATTGTTGAGGGGGCTGCTTTTCACTTACCCTCCTGTAGGCAGGGGCGTGACACTGACACTAACAGCCTGTGGTCGCTGCTCTGTGGTTCAAGGTAGCGTTTAGTGCTCAAAGTGTTGGAGCTGCCTCTCAGAGGTCTGTGTGCAGCAGAGCTCCTGGAGCCTGCAGAAGCCCCAATCTCTCATTTTGGGACCCCAGAAACAACAGCTCCTTGACCTGGGCTGTTAATATAGACCAATCGATGTGTTATGTTGTAGTCAGAGTGTTTGGCAGGAAGGTTTGTGAAGGTTATGGCAGGGTGAGCTGCGGCCAGAACCACCATTCCCTTGAAGTTAGTGGAGTTAACACCCGGCACAGCCCATCTTTGACTTACCCCTCTCCACAGCAAGTGTGTTGGCAGGAGCAGGGTCATCCCTTGCACAAAGGGCCCCCAGCCCCCCTCTTTGCTGTCAGCACGGCACTGGTGGGACTGCCCAGGCTCTGCAGGAAGGAAGGATCTCTGCACAGGCATTAAAGCAGCAGCACTCAGACCGCAGCGCCCTATTTCTGGAGGAAGAAAATCCATTGGATTAGCTGTTGTGCCCAAAGGGCAAAGCGATGGCTGCCTCAGACAAACAAGGACAGTTAGAGCACTAGTTGTAGCCTGCCATCACCAAACATGTCTGGAAAAGGGTTGGTCATGTTACAGGCATGAAGGGTAAAAAAAAAAAAAAAGCACCCAAGAAAAATCTGAATTCTTTATTCAAATAGAGTGCAGTAGTACTGTGTCAGAGGTGTTTCACCACAAACTCCCTCTTGCCAGCAATAAAAGCCTTTGTGAATTTTCCTTTCCTGCTTGGTACTGTGTGCTCAGACATGGTGCTTCTTGCCCCCCTTCATGGGGGATTTGCAGACCCACACCTCCTTTGTGCAGGACCACAGCTCGAGGCGGTGCCGTGCCCCTTCAAACCCATGATTGCACAGTGACCACCCCCACTGCCCCCGTCCACCCGCGCAGGAGGCCACGGGGCGCTGGGCAGGGTCCCATTCTAGTTGTGTTAGGGAAGCTGTGATTTCTCTGCTGCTTGTGCAAAGAGCTGTGAGAGCTTGTGCTGAGCAGAACCGACTGCCCTCGTGGCCGTCTGGCTGGCTCCGTGTTGTGCTTTATGGTGTCCTCTTTCCACGGCCGGTCACTCCAGTCATTTCCCCAGCAGGATTCCCACCTGAGTCTTCCCACTCTTACTGGTGTGGTGACCCTTCTGTCTGCACTGGAGGCACGGGGAGAGGTGTCAGTTTAATGCTGCATCAACGTCACCACGTTTGCTTTCCCGTCATTTCCCAGCAGTGGGGGCTAACGGAGCCGTGTCTTGGTCCAGCACAGTTCAGTCCTGCACCCCGAGACCCCCTCCAACTGCAACAGACCTCCCACCCAGAGGCACTTGAGGGCCTCGCTGCTCTCCAGGGTCATTCCACTGCACGCAGAGGGTTTATTTCCTTTGCTTGCAGATTATTTCAACCCAAGGACAGCCTCGGGTATCTCGAGCCAAGGAAGCTGTTTTGAGACACTGCACCCTCCCCCTCCAAGGTGAGGCCATTGCTCCCAGCCCCCCAAAACACTCACCTTGAAGCAGATGCCTTGTTCAAGACTGTTCTGTGGGCCCAGGGCGCAGCTTTTGGGGTCGCACGGGTGCTGGGTATCACCAGTGACTGGTGGAGGGGGCTCCATGGGTGGCACGTCCCTGCAGCCATTCTCCTCACCAGCAGCCAGGTCCAGCTGGACCAGCCCCCAAGGACAACCGGCTCCCTGGGAGGGGGGGACACGGGGCAGGAGGGGCAGTTGACAGCTTCTGTCCCACAAAAACTGGGGCAGAAGCAAGGGAAGAAAGAGCTGTGGGGCAGAGGCACAGAGCAAAAGGCTTTCAGCTCAAGAGGGAATGGCACGGGACCATCCCTGCCTCACCTTGGATGGATCCGTGCTGCTCGGTATCAGCCCGGCCTTGAGGCTGGAAGGGGACGCATAGGACAGGCATTTACTCCCTGGGACCTGGCAAGGGGTACCCCCAGATCTTCCCCAACCCCCCCATAGCTCCCACAGCCTCTCAGGACTGTCCTGGGGCTCAAGGAGCTGGTACAGGCATCCCCAGAGGGACTGGGGCTGTCCCCTGCCCACCCACTGCAAACCCTGTTGTCCCCAGCTCAAGTTGGACATGGGGAGAGACCAGAAGGACCAAAAGCACCCTCGTCCTTGACCCAGACACCATGAGGGCCACAGCCACCCCCGCAGCCTCGGGGAGGGGGCCATCCATCCCCCGAGCTCCCCCACGACCCGCCCCATACGTACTGCATGAATTTACACTTGGGTCCTTCCGGGCAGAAGCCGACGAGGTAGTTGGTACACATCACCCTCCGCGTGTGCTGGTACTTGCACAGGGGACCTGCCACGCAGAGGAGAGGTGCCAATTCACGGGGACACGGCACCCCATGCCCTGCCCTGAGGGATTTCAGGAGCTCAGCTCTGCCTAGCAGCCCCCTTCCACTTCAGCTCTACGGGGGCCTTCACTGCCCCAAGCCCAAAGCCCCACTGGGCTCCCAGTGCCACCCCCAAGCAGCCCCCAGACTGTGTTTCACCCAACTGTGGCTTGGTCACCTCGGAGGTGGCAGCAGGGGCCCCTCATCACCAGTGGGTAGGGAACACAGAATCATCTTGGCTGAAAAAGTCCCTGAAGCTCCTCCAGCCCAACCATGACCCTCCCCCTGACCCTTCCCAACTCCCCCAGACCCCTCAGCGCTGGCTCAGCCCGACTCTTCAACCCCCCCAGGGATCCCGGGGACTCCCCCCTGCCCTGGGCAGCCCATTCCAACGCCCAACAGCCCCTTCTGCACAGAAATCCTTCCTCAGAGCCAGTCGGCGCTGCCACCCCAGCAACTCACCGTTCCAGCAGAAACCGCGGTCATACCAGGGGCAGCCCACGGGGCTGGAGGTGGCATCACTGTGCAGGAAGGGACAGTCCTTGTTGCTGCACTTGCCTGCGGGAGGGTAGGCCACATGGGACAACGCTCACTCAAAGGCAGTAGAAATCACTCAAGGATGGGCTGGGAGGAACCAAGGCAGCCCAGGAGCACCCAGGCTTGCCCTGGGGCACAGTGGCCCTGGGTAGGTGCCAGCAGCGTTTCTTCCCACAGACAGGAGGTGGCATCAGGCACTTGCCTGAGGCCAGACCGGAGGGACACAGGTGCTGGGGTGGGAGAGGCTCGCTGCGGTCCCCAGCCCCGTCCCACACCTACCAAACTTGGCGTGAAAATAGCACTCGGGCATCTTGGTCGCGTCGTAGTCGTGCAGAAAGTCACACCCGTCGCCCTTCTTGCGGAGCCCACGCAGCCAGTGCTTGCACACCGCCGTCTTCTCCCTGCCTGCCCACGGCACACACCCGCCGTCACAGCCCCTGCCTGCACCCAGGAACCTCCCGCCCCAGCACCCCCAGCTCCTTGGCTTGGGACACGCCAGGGGGAGCTTTCTGAGCTGTGGAGGAAATTTGGGGCACGCAGTGGGTGCGTGGGGCTCGGTGCCACAGGCCCTGCCAAGGTCTGATTGCCCTGGAGATGTTCAAGCCCTCCCCGGTGCAGAGGGGTGGGAGCGCTCATCCGAAGGGCTGGGGGGGGACACAACGGGCTCTGAGCAGTGTTAGAATCACAGGCCAAACCTGCCAACCCACTGGCCACAGAGCGATCCGCTGTGGATGTGGGCTGGTCACGGAATGGAGAGGGACCCGTCCAGCTCCCTGGTGTCCCCAGGATCTTGCAGGGGACACCCCCATCCCCAGCACTCCCCCTTGGTGCACAGCCCTCGGTGGAAGAGCTCGCAGGCAGCTGCAGGGGAAAGCAGGGCAGGGAGAGCCTCACCCACTGGCCCCAGTGCCACCGAGGGCAAGAGCTTCTCAGTGCCCCCCAAAAACTGTGTCAGATGCACCCCCAGAGGAGCAATGCCTGGAACCAGCCCAGCCCCAGGCAGGAGCCCTGGGAGGAGGCAGGACCAGGGGCACCCAGGCGTTGGGGGGGCGGGGTGGGGGGTGCAGCAACAGCCAGGAGCACCCCAACACCTCCTGCACCCCTGTTACCCTCCAAGATGCCACAGGACCCTGTCCCCAACTTACTGTCCATGCCTGGGAAGGGCAGGGGCTGAGCTCCCCGCTGCTGCTCCACATCAGCCTCCAGATCAAACCTCATCTCCTCCACACCAGCCACCAGCTCCTGCATCCCCCCCGCTCCGCCAAGAGACACCCCCAGCCCCACGCAGGCAGGGAGCGCGGCTGCAAAGGGGCTGGCAGCGGGGCTGCCGAGGAACGCCTGGCTCTCCCGAGGGAGCACCACGCTCTGCAGATC